ATCAAACAGACAATACAGACAGCGACCAGACACGACACACCAGACAGACAGGACCAAGACATTTCTGTTTGACATCTGATCCACGACATACAGACAGACAGACCGAGTGACACCGCACTGACAGACATGATCAAATAGGTTACTTTTATTGATCCCAATTGGTGAATATGTTGCGTTGCAGAAAGCATATAAAAAACTAAGGCAATGTACTACATAAGACACAAGAAATAAACGGTCCAAAAATATTTCAAGAAATAGAAATACAAATAGCATTACAAAGAAATATATACTATACGTGGATGTGGAAAATATACATAACGTAGACACTATACGTAACAAATACAATGGCAGATGTTATTTGTGCAAAGAAATGGATTTAACAGTTTGTACAAGAATATGGATTACCGACAAGTTCTTTCCTTGGACCATCACATCGCGACCAAGAAAAACACTTTCCAAGAGAGACCCCAAAGTTCATGGGAGAAAAAACTAAAGTAAACCTCCTGAAGATGAAACCATAGGAGGATCGCTCTCCAGGACGGACAGACGTGGCAATAGATGTCGTGTGTAAATTAAAAAGATAATAAGTATACATTTACAACGTAGGTTAGTCCAATGCTGGAGAATGCATGTGGTCTGTAAATAATAATCGTGCGCAGACTCCACCTTTGCTTGGACACAGTCTACAGGCAAAAATTGAAATTGAGCATTTTATTTCTCTGAATGTAATTTAGGCACGTGCTAAATGAAATGCTTTCTGACACTCTGGGTATTGTAAATGTTGAATATGTAAATATGATTATCGTCTGGTTTGTTTGTTTGTTTGTCTGGTTTTATGTTCCTCATGTGGGAACTAAATGATGCAGGTCTCCCTTGTAAATGAGATCGATGATCTCAAGGGACCAATCTGTCTAAATAAAGGTTTGAAATGAAATGAAATAATAAGATGGATCCAGGTGGATGTCAACAATCCTGTGGAAGCCATCAAATAAATAGTAAGGTTCTGGCTTAACTACGCCTCATCTAATTTCTTTGAAAATGTTCGGAATTGTTACCAGATTAAGATGTGAAAATGTTGTTTTTCTATCCGCTCTGCACTTCCCCAAGGGGCGCTAAGCTAAAAGTGGACCTGGCTTTTCTTAAGTAAGGGTTCAAAGCTTCATAATGTTTTTCCACTTAATGCCAGCAGGTGCCACAAGCAAAATGTCAATGATCTAATTAACCTCACTCAAAGAGGAGGTGGAGATTTCCCCTCTTCAAAGAGCCATTGGGTTTCTGAAGCCCAGAGTATTTAACTGCCTTTTTTTAGACGGTCAGGTCTGAAGAGATATCATACCCAGAATGTTAAAGCACCATCTTTCTGGGTTGCATATCTGAAAGTTCACTGTACTTCTTGGGGTAGTCTGCTCTCAGTGGAAGAAAGTAAAGTGTGTGGGTGTTCAGAAGAAATTATTATGTTGCCATGTGCGAGGTTTTCTTTATTTCTGCCCGCCTTCTGTGGAGCATGTGAGTGTTTCACGGTCAAGCTGACGCAAATACAATCCTTACTGTACATCTCCATTGTGACTGTATGTGATGAGTCATTCTTATCATGGTGAGGGACCGGGAAATGCAATATCTGCTAACCTTTTCCCATAATCACTGCTTTGTAGGTGAATGTCATCAGCTTAATGCAACATGTGGGAGGCCACTTAGAGAGAAACATCCAACTTTGGAGCAGAAACGACTTCCTCTGCTCAAGGTACAATGTTTCAGGTTCAGTTTGAGGAACAAATCATTGGTGAAATTAATATAAAGACATTTCCCTGCCTAGTGAGTGAAATGAAAAACATGGACGTAGAGACAGTTTCTTCACTTAAAGGGGACCTATCATGCAAAATGCACTCTTGTACGTCTTTTCTACATGAATATGTGTCCCCGGTGTTCCAGGGAACTCACCAAGTGTCAGAAAACACAACCCTCTCTATTTTCCTCCATACCCAAATCTCTAAAAAAGGGGCTGCAACGGATCTGATACAGACTGATCCAGATTTGAACACTTCTATGACGTCACAGAAGTGGCGCTACGGCTATTGGGCCAACTCCACCAATCAGGAGGAGACAGCCACGGACATTGCCGTTGGAAAGCGCTGGAGACGCTGTAGTACATATGCCAGGCCTGTAGATGGTGCTGTTCTCACAGAATCAGCCCATGATGCAAAGACAGTGAGCGAAATGAGGAATGGCTCAAATGCATGATCTGTTTGGTATTTTGAAAAATAAAAAGTATAAATATGCCTTATATAGGTATGGTCCTACACTATATTATTCAAATATAGCATGATAGCTCCACTTTAAAAAAAGAACAGTGTTTTCTATTGATACCTAACATTGGTTTCAGCCTTCAACTTAGCTGTTCCTTGTTTTACTGTATTTGATTTCTTACAGTAGGGAAGCGGATGCAAGCAACATCCAAAAAAACATCACAATGTATTTAGACGGCCTATATTTCCTTTTNGCTACGGCTATTGGGCCAACTCCACCAATCAGGAGGAGACAGCCACGGACATTGCCGTTCGAAAGCGCTGGAGACGCTGTAGTACATATGCCAGGCCTGTAGATGGTGCTCTTCTCACAGAATCAGCCCATGCAAAGACAGTGAGCGAAATGAGGAATGACTCAAATGCATGATCTGTTTGGTATTTTGAAAAATAAAAAGTATAAATATGCCTTATATAGGTATGGTCCTACACTATATTATTCAAATATAGCATGATAGGTCCACTTTAAATCACAGCCACATCACAGGAGGAACTGAGCTTCAGGCTCAGTTGTCAGCTGAGAAGAAACTTTCTCCAAGTTGTTTCTAGAAATCCTCAGCACACCAGCTAAATGCACTTTCTAAATTCCAAGATTCAAAGCTTTGTTTTGTCTTGTAAGAATGCTAGTTGTTGGCAATGAAAATCCTAAGTACTAGGCTAGCAGCGTAGTATATGATATACTTAAGAGAAAAAGAAAAGGGAATAAGAAAGTAAAATTGTGCAATAAAAGTTGGCAATTGATTCAATGATTCAAGTCAAATGCAAGAATAAGTAAATAATGTATATGTTGGATAAAATAAGATACAACTGAATTTAGAATTAAATACGGAAGAATAATTACTGTCATTGTATAAATGTGTTGATATGTGGAGCCTATTACTGACGTATTCCGCTGGCAGTACACAGAAGACCTACAAAGAAACTGCAGCCAGTGTGATACTCAAGACTCAATGATACAAAAAAAATGTGTCTTGGAAAACGGACAAAAGTAACCCTATGGTGAAAGTCTCTACACAACTCAGCAGTGATGTTGAGGCTGATGGATGTATGTAGTTAAGTAAAATGGTCTATTTAAAATTCACTGGGCTTCTCACAGGTTTTATGTATTTGCTGTTAACAAACTGGCGCTGGATCTTAGCGGGGCTGCTGAACCTGTCGATGGTGAATGTTAAACCTATAATGGCGTTGAGCTGACAGCAGTGTTTGTTCACTTGTGTGGATGAGCAGACGACTAATGAGGCAGCATCTGTGAGCGCCTAAAATAAGTCAGAATTACTGCTTTGGAAACCATTAGATGCTGAATTATTGTACCTGGGACATGCTGATTGCTAATCTATCAAATCTTTTTGTTCACATCTGTTCGGCGGGAGAGTGAAACTGAGTTAAAATAGCTAAATACACCAAAAAAAGCTTCCACAATGCAAGTCTGCTAGCATTCACAGTTCATTCACTCCAATGTTTTCATTAACTTCCACTATAGTACTTGTACAGTAATACTAATAGTGCAGTAATACTACTAACACATCTGTTTTACACAAAGCTTTCACTTTGATTGTTGGAGTCCCGCAACTCAGAAACAAACAGTCTTGATAACTTAACTATATGTTTAAACTTTAAAGATATGTGAGGAAATTGAAGAAATACTGAGCAGGACTTTTGACAAACATGTTGAAGTATCCTTAAACAGGGTTCTGAAAGGGTTCTGAAACCAACATTTCTCCCAATGGCATGACCAACAGTGTTTGAGTACCTTGTATTGCAGCCTCTGGCTCTGAATGGATATGTGTGTGAATGGGTGAATTAGTCTGAAATGCACTTTGAGTAGTCACAAAAGACTAGAAATGTGCTATTTAAATACAGTTGATTTACCTATAATGCCAAGTTGCCAACTTACCAATTTTCATTTATATATTTACTTATTGATCTTTTATTAATTATGTCTAACACAAAGCAAAGTAAAGATTTGTAAAGTATGGAACATTTTCTTTCTTAAAAAGTAATCTAAAACAGTCATAAAATGTTGCTTCACATAAAATGGGCTCTTTGTCAACATGCAATGGTGAGAAATTGAAACTCTTTGGTAATCAATTTCAACTGACAGCAGAACACAGTCCAATCATCAGTGCTAATTGAAAGCCTTGAGCGGAGAAGCTCTTGTGTTGGTTTTTTTAAATCATGCTTGTGCTTCATTTGTGTAATTTATGCTTGAATTGGAATAGATTTTTCTATATAATCATCAATCCACTATATAGCAATAAAACATGAGAAAGGTTTAATGAAGAGCCTACAGATCTAAATACAAGTCAATCAAAGCTGTGTGTACAGGTACCTCGTTGAAGGAGATTTTGGTAGTTTTCATCTTCTGGGGTGAGCTCTTCCAAGTTTTCCCAAAGAATTGCTGATGGTTTCTATCAAAAAGGGTCACTCGCAACTGGTAGGTCACATCTTGTTCCCCCTCTGACTTCTCCTATGAGTAAAAAAGAAAAGTAAACACCCACATTAGAAAAGTCACAGGTAATTCTAAAATTGTGTTTGATGCATGATTTCAGATGGCTTACACTCTTGGCAAACAGTCATACATTCGTATCACTCAATGTGTTTCTTATGTTCTTGAAACAAAGTATGATTAACTGCAGTGGTGCTTTTTTGTATTATCTCTCCTACCGAATTTACAAAAGGATACATAGCATGTTTACAATGGTGTTTTGTGTGGTCAACGTTATTAAACGGTTGGAAAAATGCAAGGTCACCTTTAATTATAAAACTTTTAGGACGAGGTTTTGCTAGTTTTCTTCGGATTCGCTGTGACGTACCATTAACTACGTTAAAGGGAGATATGATATAGGCCTTTTTCATATATCTGCTTAATAATGACAGCTTAAAGTCAGACTTTGTTCGGCAAATTAAAAACTACACAGACTGTACATTCGTTTAAAAAAACACTATATTTCTGTTAAGAACATAACTTCTCCTGAAACTATAGGGAACATTTAGCGTTAGCTTTGAGCCATCACCTGCGAGAGGTGAGCAGCAGTGAGCCGGCTGAGGCTGAGCTGGAAGCCGTGGGACTCGGTGAGGTGGCTCTCCACAGCCAGCCGCACTGTCTGGCAGGGCGGAGGAACCACCCGGCTTCTTTCAAACACTTCGTTCCAGCTGGCAGCCATGGTGGTTGTTTCTTCAGTGTTGACCATAGTCTATAGTTAATAGGAAAATAACACATGTAGCGTCAAAAAGGCGAATGTTATTTTTCTACATGCTAAGATTTTCAAACTCCCTGCCGCCATATTGAATTTGGTTTAAACTACTCAGAGCAGAAGGGTTAGACGAAAAAGTTATTTACTTATTTAAGACTATCTGCGAGTGAAGGCAAAAATACTTTAAATGCTTATTGAATATACGAGAAACGTTCTTATGCACCGAGGCGTGTAACACCGAAACGTAACGTCTAAAAAGTATTTGGCCGTCCTCGACTCTAATCCTTAACCTTTCATTTGGTATGTCCCATCGGTCTGCATCTGTTGCTATGGTAATGTCCACTGCTAAATGCCATACATACAGTCCACCACCAGTGCTATTTAGATTTAACTTAGTTTTTATAAATCAAATAACGCAAATTATGCACTTACTCTTTTTTTTAAACTTGAAAAAATGCTTACAATATTATTCGTAGTAGATGTAGCAGCATTGAAATGACAAAAGTTAGCCAATTACAGTATAAAGGTTTTGTGTGTGGCCCATTGTTTTGCTAAGTGTAATACAACCTACATGTATGTGAATGTGAATGATAGCCAACAAAAATGGCTTAGCAAAGTTTGGCAACATTATGTGTAGATCATAGTACAATGTTCACTAATGATTCATTTGCATTGTGCGTGTCTGCGTCAGTGGATAAATACTTTGATAAAACTGTATTCCTGCAGCTGAGTTTATCTCTGTTATAGGAACAGATGATGCTTCTATGTATGTACATGCTCAAAATAGAGGAAAAGCCCTCAAGAGGTCAAGATTGAAAAGATTGAGGGCATCAGTAAGATGGCACCAGTTTTCTCATTGTTTGGTGAGGGGCATTTTTCTGTGCTGGATTTCTGTGCTGGATTGCTGCCTGGAGTACACGAATTGTAGGGCAATGGTGGCTGACAAGACTGCAGAAGTACTTGTTTGCATGCATTTGTAACGCTACAACGCTGATAACGATATCAGATGTCCCTAGCTGGAAGGGGAAGCAAATGTGAAGAGTTCAACTTCATTAATATATTCTTGATATTTTGAACATGAACATGAAACATATTGCCTATGTTGCTTTCACATGCAACAGTAATCTTACCAGCTTGCATTTACTCAAGTATTGTACCTCAGAAAATGTACAGTAACTGTTGGGTTAACATTTCCTCCATCAATACACTATGGCAACATTAGAGGGCGGCAGCACACCACGCGCAGGGTAGTCAGCTTCGCGAGGAAGAAGAAGGAAGCGGTCGTTACAAACTGAAAACAGCAGTGCAATGTTTGGACTCTTCGGGAAAAACAAACCCGTTAAAATTAGGAGTCGCAATGAAAATAAAAAGTACGGAGTTGCAGCAAAAGATGTGAAAGAGTTGCTTAAAAAAGGCTGCAAGTTATTACAGGTGAGCGCGTGCGTTTTATTCTGGTTTGTTTTTAACAGCTCTACCACCAGTTGAGTTTTATTTTCAGCGAGGAGGATATGGGTAAAAAAGAAAAGTAAACATAAAAGTGTTATAATTAAGTGTTTAAGCAGCTATATGTCTGGTTGAGGTCGCTGGGAATATAATTGCATTGTCTGTGCACGTTATTTAAGATTGTTGGTTAACTTCCTGTCATGATAGGGGCGGGTTTAGTGCAAACCAGGGTCATCTTCGCCTTGAAGAAGATATGGTGAATCGTTTCACATTACATGCAGACAACATGTTCCCGATATGTTTATCTAAATAATATTAGACACAACTGTATCCACACACAGATTAGGCATCACAGGAACAAATAAACAGGCAAGAGAGAGAGGTAGCTAGCAACTGGTTAGAAAGCTATTTACAGTGCATAAACAAGTGTAATTACATGTAATTCAAGTGCAAAAATGACACAGCAGTAGACATTCCATAGTAAAGACAATTTCCAAATATGATATTACTTTCAAATTAAATGTTTGATATGAAATGTGTTTTACACAGATAATAGCCTTAATAGTTATCTTCATTCCAGACAAGCTGACACTGCCTGCCCTCCTGCAACGTAGATATCTATTTAATCACTGTGTGTCATTGATAGCTCTGTGAACAACATCTACTGAAATATAATCAACTGTTATCAATCTAGTCTAAAGAGAACCATGGGAAATAGAAAGACAAAAATGCAGATCATCTTGTTCTGTCACCAGAGTCTTTCACTGTTTTCCTCCAGAGATGGGTGTCACAGTTTCACCAGTGAAACCCTTTTGAATAATGGAAACAAACTGTTAACAGACAAAACTGAAATTAATTCCTGTTTTATTTGCTCTGGTCTGTACACCACTTTGGTTATTATTTTTAACTAACTTGACTTTAACCTCTTGTGGGGAAAAAAGGGAAAACAAATCCTACCATCGTCTTACATTTCACTTAAATCTAAAAAAGAAATTGTATTTTTTCCCCCTTTTTATACATTTCCAGTTGCCATCTTCTGGTGCACATGTCTGTTTGTATTCTGATGGGACAACAGTGACGGAGGAATTCTTCCAAACTCTGCCGGACCACACCGAACTTGTTCTCCTCTGCAGAGATCAGACGTGGAGCGGAGGTAGGGGGATCACCTTTAGGGTCATACATTTGAAAGTAATTTGTGTATAATAATGTGAGTAACAAGGTTGCGTTTGTATGAATGCCACACTCCTTCAAGAGTGACAAGATTGGAAATATATTACAAATAAAAGAGAGGACTAGTTTTGGTCTACCCATGGCACTAGCACATGGCTTGCTGATGTCCTTTCCACTGTGTCATGTGACAAACAGTTTGTTCACTTCTTCTGCCAAGCTAAAAAGGTTTCGGTAACAGGGTTGCGCGCATGTTGAGGGACAACCTTCTGTGCAAAATTACTGTTATTTAAAATGTGTTTATGATTTAACAAATTGATTTTACCATTACAAGAGACAATCAATAGAATAATACCAAAAGAAGTCAATAAAAACCCTATTTTAAATGTTATATTTTACATGCAAGTTGGTCACCAGGAAGCTGGGACAAGAGAAAAGGGCCATTTTAGGGGGTGTTCGAGAGCTATTTGATATTTTAAATAATATTTTGAAACCACTTTTTCAACAACTTTATATGCATCTTGTCTCAAGACAAGTATATTTAACAACAACAAGTGCATGTTTTAAATTTTGGGACATGGATTATTAGATTTATTATATGGGGGACATGAAATGTCCTCCAATTCTGGAATGACCCACAATCCAGATAAATGCTTCAACTCTAAACAGTATCTGCTATCTGACCCGTGTGGTTTCAATTCCAGTTGTGTGTGACATTGGTCAGTTACTGAAGACAGACCGATATGCCGATGGCCTCATTGAAGCAGCCAAAGGGCTCCTGTTTGATGAGAAGTCTCCTCAAAGACGTAAAATCCTGACCGACCTGCTGCTCAACCTGGAGGACAGATCTGAGCTGGAAAGCAGGGAGGAGCATGAAGAATGGTTCAAAGGTACAAAGTCTGGAGACATACATGAGCGACTGGCTTCATGGGTTACATACGTCTGCCACTATTACAAAAAGAAATAAAAAATGTTATAAGAAGATGCTCTTTCTCATTTTGAAGGAATACCTCACCCACAAAATAATACATGACTTGATTGATACGTTGAATCCTTGAAGAAAACATTATCTTGCATTGCCTCATAGTAAAAAAAAAATGTAAGCAAAAGTTTCGATGATCCGAAGTATTTAGGGGACCATTATTATTAGCTGTTGCTATTTTGAGAGCACACCAGCGATAGTTGGAGACTTTTTTTGCAGAAGTGTTCATGTGGGGTTTCATTTCAGGTGTTGATGCTCGATTCAAGACGAAGTCGGCCTACATGAAGTTCAACTGTGAGGGCAGGATACGAGGCTACATGAAGGAGGTAAAGACTCTATTAAGTCTTTTAATGGCTCTTAAGGCATATGGCATAGAAATATCCAAAATAGATGTTCTGTGACTCAGGTGCATGGGGCCACCAAAACAATACAGAAGGCTAAAGTCAGGGAAGAGTTTCTGAAAACGTCCAAAAGTCTGTCCGAAATGTTGAAGACGGCAAAGAACAACAGCTGCTACTTCGACAGGACCGAGAAGGAGCGGCTCTGTACTCGAGAAGGATGGTTCACCTGCCAGGTATTAGAGGGATATGATTCATTTCTATAAATTTTTTACAAAACTAACAAAAACATTTGAAAGCACTGAATCTGCTTCTTCACTTTTGCTTTTTCAGGGATCATATGAGCAGAAAGTGTGCCAGTCTCTCCACTCCATCAACCCGTACGGCAGCAGAGAGAGCAGGATAGTGTTCAGCACATGGAACCTGGACCACAGGTTGGACTCTAGCAGAAAAAAATGTTTTACTGTTGTGTGCAGTGAATAAAAGAGGCCTGAAATGTCTAAAACATGTATGTCGAAACCACAAGGTTAGAAAATTCTTCGTTCTAGTTCTAGGACATTACATTTATCAGTCTCATGTGACCCTGATGTAGTTATGTAATAGCCAGAAGTTAGGTTTCCAAAGATTTAATTTGCATGTCAACTATTGTAAAAGTGGTGTTAAAATGGCAAACATGGATTATACTGTGTTTTCTGATATCCAATGGAGAAATTTCCATTAGCTTTTAGGCGATACTAACTTTTGTGTTGCCCTACATATATACAGGACTGTCTCAGAAAATTAGAATATTGTGATAAAGTTCTTTATTTTCTGTAATGCAATTAAAAAAAACAAAAATGTCATACATTCTGGATTCATTACAAATCAACTGAAATATTGCAAGCCTTTTATTATTTTAATATTGCTGATTATGGCATACAGCTTAAGAAAACTCAAATATCCTATCTCTAAATATTAGAATATCATGAAAAAGTATACTAGTAGGGTGTTCAACGAATCACTTGAATCGTCTAATTAACTCGAAACACCTGCAAGGGTTTCCTGAGCCTTGAAAAACACTCAGCTTGGTTCAGTAAACTAAATCACAAGTATGGGGAAGACTGCTGATCTGACTGCTGTCCAGAGGACCGTCATTGACACCCTCCATCAGGAGGGTAAGACACAAAAAGAAATTTCTCAAAGAGCAAGCTGTTCACAGAGTGCAGTTTCAAAGCACATCCACAAAAAGTCTGTTGGAAGGGGGAAATGTGGCAGGAAACGCTGCACAACCAAGAGAGATGACCGCAGCCTTAACAGCATTGTGAAGAAGAGTCGCTTCCAGAATTTGGGGGAGCTTCAAAGACAGTGGACTGAAGCTGGAGTCCAGTCGACTACGATCTGTCGGAGGCGAGGACCGGCGGCAGGCGTAAACGCCGTTCTTGATTGGGAAGGTGCGACGGTGATCCAGTCCGGGGACTGACTCTCTCTGGAAGTGCACATAATCATACAACAATTCGTAATGACCACGATCAGATCCGACGCGATTTCCTATAATTCCCGACAAAATTTACTTTTTTGTCTCCGCTCGCTATAATAACCGGCTGGCTGACGCGGCTCGTGGACTGAATTACGTACCCATCGGTCTTGTCAACCCGTGTAACACATGCTTTTTCACGTCGTGCGATCACCGGTGNGCATCCATAACACCTCAGCAATGCCACAGGCTGATTGCCTCCATGCCACGCCGCATTGATGCAGTAATCCGTGCAAAAAGATTCCCAACCAAGTACTGAGTGCATTAATGGACATTTTCAAATGTTTGATTGTGTTTTGCTGTTATAAATCTTTTTTTTTTACTTGGTCTGAGGAACTATTCTAATTTTTTGAGATAGGATTTTTGAGTTTTCTTAAGCTGTATGCCATAATCAGCAATATTAAAATAATAAAAGGCTTGCAATATTTCAGTTGATTTGTAATGAATCCAGAATGTATGACATTTTTGTTTTTTTTAATTGCATTACAGAAAATAAAGAACTTTATCACAATATTCTAATTTTCTGAGACAGTCCTGTATATACCTATATGTCGTCGCCGCACCACTTTACGGCCAAATATTTATACTTTTTTTTGTCTTTTGTACAGGATTGAAAAGAAGAGGACGATCATTCCCGCCCTGCTGGAAGCTCTTCAGAATCACAAGAGCTCCGACATCAACCTGAACTACTTCTACGGCCTGCTGTTCACCAGGGAGAACCTGAAGCTGGTGCACATCGTGTGCCATAAGAAAGGAGCGCACAACCTGCTATGTGACGCCAAGAAGATCTTTAGAAAAGCCACTGACACAAACAAAGCAAAACAGAATGTGAAAGAGAAGAAGAGGCGCTTGGTGTGAACATTTTTACTCTTATCTTTTACGCGTTTTCATTTTTTATGAACTTTGAGGGTGTAAAGTATCACACTGATAAGACTGGCAGTCATTTGTCAGACAAAATAATTACACGCTTATTTTTAAATCATGAAAAACATTTATTATGTTCTCTGTGTTGGCACTGTGATGTAAAATGCATGGATTATCACTCAGGCAGTAAGTGGCATAAGAGTGAGGAGTGCAAGTACTGGCACCCTCAAAAACTAGATTACATTTTTAAAGTCAGGTTTAACATATCCTCCGTTTAAACGGACTAAAAACATTTCTGATAAAACTCTGTTTTTTTACAATGCATTTTTGTGTAGAATTCTGCCATGTTTGCAAATGTGATCCTCCTTAGGGAAAATATTTAGCTGCATTGATATCATTTACATTTGTTATTTTACAGATGTGTTGTATGAAGCAGCTGCCAAAAAGCCCAAACTGGGCACACATAGATGATGACACATTAGACACTTGGTGAACAATGACATCTAAACCATGTCTCTGTGATATTAAAAGCTCTCGCTATGAAACAGCTCTTTGGCGCATGTATCCTTCCAAAACGTGTAGATTTGCACGACTTTTCCTACAAATCTACACTTTGACCTTTAAATGAAGTACTGTTTGGCATCTCTCACGGCTAATCTCACTGACAATATGAAGCAGTATGTAATAATTTGTAAATAAAGTGCTGGGCCGGCCGGCTGTAAATGTTGTCCACAGTTATAATCCCTGTCCTGCAGCTTTGTTTTAACAGTATCAAATGAACTCACAAGATATTTGGGAACAAGTTTGAAAACAATTTAGCATTTTTGTGCGTTTGGACGGTTTGTCAAGTCAACAATTGTTAATGACCAAGAACTGTCTTTTAAGCTGTTGGCGAAGTGCTCAAGTTTTTATGTTGTGACGAATCTCTTCAGCGCATGGCGGGTACGGGAAGTAACTTAAAAGCAAACTCACATATAAGGACAATTCGTAATCAATGGTAGGCTAACAGCAGATCAAGCTACAGCAAATTCCTGCCTCCTGTGAGACAGCGTTTCACTAATTGAAAGAGCTGCTTTTGAGTAAGTGCCGAGCCTTTTGAGTCCCTCAGGCCTCACTTTGAGACATCAGTTCCGTTACTCTTCGTTAAGTGTCCCCTGTGTCCCCTGTGTCCCCTCGCGGTGCACTGATCACGCCAGCCTCCTCTTCATCGCTGTTCTCGGGTGCGTAGTAATGGCGTCTCCGTCTCCCTGCGTTGTCATGTTGACCAGGGGCAGAGGACGCTGACGGTCTCTGAGGGAAATCCTGTATAATAAAAGGAAAAAAAAGATATGACATTACTTTTTAATCAATGTCAGTTACTTAACAACTGATTCAGGTTATGGGAGCTTTACAGTTTAAGTATGCCTTTTGATTAGAGGAATTTCTAACTAGAAAATAAATAATTGCACTATACTGTCCTATATAGTCTGCTGTACCTGTTGCCATCTTGTAGCTATGTATTATGTTTTTTTATTTTTTTTATCATGGCCTGTATATTGAGCCTCCATGTTGCATGTTTTTAAATATATTATTGATATTTTTTTGTTGTATCAAAATTACTTTTTTATGGTGACTGATACAGCTGAATCAGATTTCAGCATTTGGTTTTGGGACAGTTTCTCCATTTTGGATTCAAATCAAATATGTGAAATATGACAATAATACAAATAAATAATAAATATTATATAAACATAAGTTAAGTAAAAATATAAAATGTACAATGAAAGTAAAAATGTTTTATACATAATTGTATTATTATTTTCAAATAATATTAGCATTAGTGCTGTTAATGATGAGCAAAGATTTCAGCAATGGTGACGCATTCTGTAATAGGCAGTATTTTGAGCATGAGTTGATGAATGAGGAAGTGGAGAGACGCTCAATATTTACAATACGCTTTCCTGTTACTGCAACGCATTTATGGCTGCTACACGATGGGCCTCACACTGGGAGCTACACTATATATGAATACATTTCCTGCTGTTTTTGTCCATATGCCAGCTTGTTCTTCTTTTGTTGGTACCAATTGTTTGCTGGGATTCACCTTGTTTTCTTAATTCCTCCGATTTCGATGATTAAAAACATTTGGGGTATCTGGATTTGACCTCTCTTATATTGTCTTTTTACATGAATAAGAAGAACAAAGAGACAATTGAGAAACTATCGCTGGAAAAAGTCTGAAATGGGCACTTCAAATGATGGGCACTTGATTATGAACGTGTGCTGCCTCATTATTTAATTCCCCACTGTGAAAGGATATCTGATTTTGATTTAACATTTTGTTGACAGCACATGTGGGTGATACTTTATCTATGTTTAGTCTGCGCTTTTTTCAAGACAGCCACTCCTAAATGCAGATCAATGTTGCAAAAATTCCCCTACAACAACAACATTTATCAGGCAACATAATCCAACCTGAGCCACAGACATCGCCTCACCTGTACAGCATCCAGATTTCCAAAGAACTGCTCCACGGGCAGAATCTGATTACTGTCGTCATCTGGGAAAATGTTTTTGCTGCTTTCCTCACAATCCATGTCCTCGGTCTCGTGTTTGTCCCAGACGCAGGTCACTGTGCAGCTGTCCACTTCCTGCCCCGTCCTCACTTCGTTTTCTTTGCCCTCCTGTCCCTCCAGCTCTGGGGAAGCAGAGCATCTCCTCGTGCCCGCTGACTGCTGGCACTCACAGATGATGGCAGAGAGTCTCTCCACAGCGCCGTCTGCTTTGCTGTACCCATCGACCGCTGAGCTGCTCCCTGCTGCTGCTGCCGGCTGCATGTTTGGACTTTTTATACATTTCCTCCTTGTAGTAGAAGCCTGTAATATACAAGTAAAGGATTTGGGTTAGGATTATGTTACATTTGACTATGATTAATATCATTTTCTTACTATAATATACTATATTCAACACCCATAAGGACGGAAGACAAGGGCTGCACAATTAATTGAAATGTTATCAAAACCGCAATATGGAATAGTGCAATATAAAAGGGTAAATGTGTTAAAATACAATTTTAAATGTAGAATGGTAGAGCTGCAGAGATATCGAGGCCTACACATGGTATTATACAGACTTACCAAAACAAATTAGGTTAGTACAGAATACAGATACTCAATAATAATATTGTATCATATCATAATATATTTTATAATTTCATTCAACAATGAACATTCCCTCCAATTGCAATATCAGTCAATAATATAATCTCAATAAGGTACTTTTTTCTAAATCGTGCAGCCCTGCGCAATTGTTCAGTTTGTCAAACATGGTCCATTTCCAAGTAGTTTGAAGAAAGCAATATAAAGATAACTGCTGTCTGTATCTGTTCTTTATAGAGTCTGCTCTTGCTGATACAATACATGTTAACACAAACCTTTCTGGAGCTGCTCTTCCTCTTTCTGGGCTTCAAGCTGTCAAGTTGACCGGGCATCTGCAAATCAGCATAATGTGGTTTTGTTTCATCCTTTTTGGCCATACTTAAATATATAGCAACCAGTTAAAAAATCGAATCGAAACCATGCCTTGGATAATCACTGTCATGTGGTTTGAGTTGATGCAAGGTTTTAGCTAGCGCTGTGCTGGGAAGTAATGCTTCCAGGAGATGACTACAAATGGTCACATGAATCATTTTCATTTTAAGTGTAGATGTGGGAAAGACATGCTGTTTAGATGAATCAGGGATTCATTGGAACAAGTTACATTTTATTTTCAACTTCAGACGTTTTTGGTGTAAATGTGAAAAAAGGAGTGGAGGGGGACGACGCTAAAGTTGGCTTCCGATTCAGAGCATCCGATTCGGCAGTTAAGGGTTAAGGGACATTTAATTTACAGCGCTGAGCGAACAATCCTCCGTGTTTGAACCATAGGTTTGAACCTCTTAAATCGCGGCTGCATAGCCGATTTATTTGGACTGGATTATCCCAGAGAGTCTAAAAATTCTTTATAACACAGTTTGAGATTTGTGAAACCTTAAATTTGTGAAAATACACATTTTGCTGCTTTTTTTACATCTAGACCACATAAGACCAGGGGCCTCATTTATAAAAGGATATATACGCTCAAAAAATGGCGTCCAGCAGTTTCTACGCAATGTTTGCGATTTAAAAAATACTAACTTGACGGGAAAACGTGCGGTCCTCCACGCAAACTCTAACCCATGCGTACGCACGCACTAAACACAAAAACGGGAGAGACGAGAAACTGCGACACCGTTGGCAGAAGGAAGAATGGAGAGAAATATGTGGAAATAATACCATAAATAAAATGTTACCTCTCATTTATCATATATGAAGAATTCACTTTCAAACATTGATTAAAGCCAATCTTATAATGATTTAACAAACGCCTGTTTGAGACTCCTCAGTGCACACAAAAACATAACTGGGAGAAATAAATAAATACGGATATGTTATTTAAAACCACCTCGAATATGTTGTGTTAATGTTATGAAATGTTTTCTCATAAATTATGCGGTAAACAGGAGGACAGAATTACGTCTAAACTGACGCCGTTTTGCATTTCTATAGGTTGTAGATACGAGCATGGTTTTATATATGTTTAATACATGTTTAATCGTGTTTTATGCCGTTTGCCAAGACTTGATAAGTCGCTCGTAAAACACAGGAGGTATGGAAACTAAGAACACCATATGTGGTAAATTGTACAGCTAATATAACAACACATTAGTTGTATTTCCTTTAACTGGTGGATATAGAGTTGCTGTGGAGGGGGAGGGGGAGGAGATTTCCAGATGTCCAGATTTGATGAGCCTAGGTATAGTGGTTTTAGATCAGGACCTGGTCTTATGTGGTCTAGATGTAAAAAAAGCAGCAAAATCTTCCTTTTTTGTCTATGGGGTCTCTCGACCGCTGAGGACTGCGAGGCTCACTTGGAATCCGTCCGGAAGTCCCCGTCATGCTTGCACTTATCGGTCCGCATCCCCCTGTCCCCGTCGCTCTTGAATCTCATCATTAAGATTACTCTTCGTGCCTGAGTACTCGTCTATTAGGTATAGTTCTGGTCGACCTGTGACCTCGTCAATCGCCTTCTACCGTGCCGTGACCTACATTCGATGAAAATTTTAGGTGTCTTGGGCTTTAGCTTTCTTCTGGGCAGCCCCGTCTCGTGCTGTGTCCGCATCTGCGTGTTAGGTTGGCTTATGAGGTTGTTGTATCTCACTAGACTGTTGTGTTGGTAGTAAAAACCGATAGCTTTGGTCAAAAAAATATCGTTAATAGTCGTTGTCGTTTAACGCTTAGATATATACATCCTAACGACTTGTTGTCTTCGTAATGCGCCCGTTTTATTACGTTCTCATCCACATTTCTCTTCGAGACCACTTTATCAAGACAATATGTCCACGAGAATAGGAATATCGATCGAAATAATCCGACGTCGCTGTATAACTCTAATTAATAGGCTGAAAACGTTTCGGATACAACTCACAATCGAATAGACACAGAAAACTAGAGGTCTGTCTGCAAAATGCAGCAGAGCACTGCGACTCTGAGTGAATTGGAATGTATTGGCATTGAATACGAAAGTGGCGGACTAACAACCAAATGGCTGTTTACGCTGTACCGTAACTAAGGTTATTATGTCACTGTAATGACACTCTGACATCGACAGAATGTCAATAATTCCGTGTCCATCCTTACCAAAATTTTCAGTTTTAAATCAAATACGTAACGACGACCGTGCGGAATTTATTTCCTTTATTGCAGTCTCTAATGTAAGTCTCATACGACCTTCAAAACTAGTACCATTGTACGGTGGGAAGAGCCTCCTGAGACCATTCGGCGTCCTTGTCCCTCATCGAGTCCTCTCCGGCGACACCCGAAAGTTCGATAATAGGGTGCACTATTGTGAAATTATCTTTACTCCTTTCACAGATTAAATAAGCGGGCACTTTACATCAAGCGAATTTCGTTGTTGGACGGAAAGTAAGCCGAGTTACACATTAACAATTTCCGGTACATTCGCTGCGTCTGCAATATGGGAACATCTTTACATGAGAACGACGATGATGAGGCTGGCGGGGTAGGAGGGTAGGGTTGCTGCGACTGCAAGCCCGAAGGCTAAGCTCTAGGCTAATCCTTCGAATTCCCCTTTTCAATCCCTTTAAGATTAAATGCTTCCGACTCCGCTTGTTTAGGACGACACAAACGTGCGGAGAATCGTACGACCGTATCCGCTACAAAACTCTGACCTATTAGGGTCTCTCAATTTCTAAGACATCCGGGATATGTGTCATCTCCAAACACTGGAAGTTAATATGAAG